ACTATACATACAATATGATGGGGACTAATTTAGCTATAACTACTCGAGAGAGAGATCTTGGAGTCATTGTGCATAGTTCTCTGAAAACATCCACTCAATGTGCAGTAGTAGTCAAAAAAGCAAACAGAATGTTAGGAATCATTAAAAAAGGGATAGCGAATAAGAGGAAATATCTTATTCTGTGGATGTGTGGATGTGCTTTTGCGCAAGAAGTTTTTGCAGAAGATCTCTTCCGCAAAAAGCTTCTTGGCAAAGAGCCTGCAGTGTAGACATAGCCTCACTGACAATGGATTTATATTGGCAGGGTTTGACAAGCAGCGGCGAGCCCTGCTTGCCAGCCACGCGGTTTGGCACGCTTCGCATGTGCTAACTGTGCTGCGTGGCCGCACCTGGCTAAAATCTACTTGCCACAGGCCAGTAGATTGCCCTAATTGTTGAGCCCTGTATATTGGTGTATGTGAAAGGAGTGTCAGGCCTATTGTGTTGTGTTTAGCTTGAAGATTCAGATGGTGGAAGTTTCAGACACTAGAACCAGAACCTAAATTTTCCAAAGTAACTAATAATTGTGCTTGTTTCAGTTTTTGGGTAACCAGCTTGATAACACATTTTGGAAGGCTTGATTTTTTTCAGAAGAGCTGAACACTCTCCAAAAATCTGCTCTCTTTAAGGTGACTCACATTGGGTACCCAAAAGCACTATTTGCTTTTGAAAATTTAGGGCCATGGAATCCACTGAAATCAGTGGGAACTTTGCCATTTACTTTAGTGGCTTTGGACTTTTGTTTAACTTATGATATAAGAGAAATCTCCTTTCCTGTTAGAGCCACACTGTTTATTCCAGCATTGACATTTGCTTACAAGAAGCAATATATAGAACTTTGTAAACTACCACACTAACATAACACAAATTTATAAATATTTACTTTCTCTGGCCAGTTCCGCAAATGATAGGATCAGATGAATGTGTTGATTTATTAGCTTTATATTCCAGACTAAATTACAAGGTTTAGCTCAACAGAACATTTCCAAAGATTATAATTAATATTCATAAGAACATAAGAACATAAGAATGGCCGTACTGGGTCAGACCAAAGGTCCATCCAGCCCAGTACCCTGTCTGCTGACAGTGGTCAATGCCAGGTGTCCCAGAGGGAGTGAATCGACAGGTAATGATTAAGCCATCTCTCTCCTGCGATCCATCTCTACTCTCTGACAAACAGAGGCTAGGGACACCATTCCTTACCCATACTGGCTAACAGCCATTCATGGACTTAACCTCCATGAATTTATCTAGTGCTCTTTCAAACCCTGTTATAGTCCTAGCCTTCACAACCTCCTCAGGCAAGGAGTGCCACAGGTTGACTGTGCACTGTGTGAAGAAGAACTTCCTTTTATTTGTTTTAACCCTGCTGCCCATTAGTTTCATTTGGTGGCCCCTAGTTCTTATATTATGGGAACAAGTAAATAATTTTTCCTTATTTACTTTCTCCACACCACTCATGATTTTGTAGACCTCTATCATATCCCCCCTTAGTCTCCTCTTTTCCAAGCTGAAAAGTCCCAGTCTCTTTAATCTCTCCTCATATGGGACCAATTCCAAACCCCTAATCATTTTAGTTACCCTTCTATGAACCTTTTCTAATGCCAGTATATCTTTTTTGAGATGAGACCACATCTGTACGCAGTATTCAAGATGTGGGCGTACCATGGATTTATATAAGGATATTCTCCATCTTATTCTCTATCCCTTTTTGAATGATTCCTAACATCCTGTTTGCTTTTTTGACTGCTACTGCACATTGAATGGACGTCCTCAGAGAACTATCCACGTTGACTCCAAGATCTCTTTCCTGATTAGCTGTAGCTAAATTAGCTCCCATCATATTATATGTATAGTCGGGGTTACTTTTTCCAATGTGCAATACTTTACATTTATCCACATTACATTTCATTTGCCATTTTGTTGCCCTGACCCTTGGAGAACACCACTCCATTCTGAAAAATTACCATTTCTTCCTACCCTTTGTTTTCTGTCTTTTAACCAGTTCTTAGTCCATGAAAGCATCTTTCCTCTTATCCCATGATAACTTAATTTACATAAGAACGCTTGGTGAGGGACCTTATCAAAGGCTTTCTGGAAATCTAAGTACACTATATCTACTGGATCCTACTTGTCCACATGTTTGTTGACCCCTCCAAAGAACTCTAATAGATTATTAAGACATGATTTCCCTTTACAGAAACCATGTTGACTTTCCCCCAACAAATTATGTTCTTCTATGTGTCTGACAATTTTATTCTTTACTATTGTTTCAACTCATTTGCCTGGTACTGACGTTAGTCTTACCGGTCTGTAATTGCTGGGATCGACTCTAGAGCCCTTTTTAAATATTGGTGTTACTTTAGCTATCTTCCAGTCACTGGGTACAGAAACTGATTTAAAGGATAGTTTACAAACCATAGTTAATAGTTCCGCTCTTTACATCATAATTTTGCTGCTTTGCTTTCCTTTTTTTGCTTTTTTGGGGTGGGGATAATATAAATGTTTTATTCTTAGCAGCAAAGACTGAGGCTACATCTAGACTACAAAGAAAAGTCGGAAAAAGATACGCAAATTGCAAATTGCAATTTGTGTATCTTTTTCCATTTTCTTTCAAAAGAGGCTTCTCTGAAATTTGGTGCAGCTAAACAGTACCAAATTTTGGAAAATCCTGCTCTTTTCACACATCCCTTATGCCTCGTAGAACAAGGTTTACAGGGATGGTAAAAGAGTGCGTCCTCTTTTCTGAATTTTTTTTTCGGAAATGCGGACGTGTTCCTTGGACACGGCATTTCTTTTTTGGGATACCAGCACTGCAGTCTAGACATAGCCTGAGGTAAGATTGTACAGGATAAGTTATCCCACCAGGTGGTGGTGTTGGACAGTTCTTTTTGGCAGAAAGAATATCACACAAATGGACCTGGATAATACTTGGTAAAATTGTGATCTAAGTTAGCTATAGTCAGGCTATATAACTTTAGAGTTCTGAAAAAATATGAAAAGTCAAAAAGTAACATTGGCTTAAGGGCCTGTCTGTATTACAAAATGTACTGCATCGAGACACCTTTTTATAACATGTTTTTGTTTTACCTTTGTGGATGATTTGGTCAAATCCTAGTATAATCATGTTATATTTTATAATATGAACAGACCCCATGCACATTATAGTTTAGACTGTGATAGCCAAAGCTATTTTTAACCACACCTCTTGCTAACACACTTTCCCTATCTAATTAAACAGGGTACCCCTAGCAGGAAGAACCATTTCATGTGATTTTACATCGCTGAGGTTTTTTATTTGGAAAGTGGTTTATAACATAGTTAGACCTTGGTGAAAATTTTCCAAAGTGCTCAAGTGGTTTGGGGGCTTAAGGGCCTTTTTTTCAAAAGTGACTCAGGCTTTTAGCAATGCATAGATTTAAAACAACTTTACCTGTATAGCATTTTAATTAAATTATGCATTAACAGAATAAAATGTACTAGGACAGTATTTAAACAAGAGACATGAAAAATTCAGTTTATACAGGTTGAAACTCTCTAGTTCAGCACCCTCAGAACCTGACTGGTGCTAAACCAGAGAATTTGCCAGACCACAGGAAGTCAATATTGTCTAGCCACATTACCAACACTTCCACTGCTTACTGGGCTCTTAGAAGACATTTAGGGGTAAATTAGAGCTAAGTAACAGCACAGAACACTGAGAGATGGGACTGGTGGCTATAAATAGACTTTATGGAACCTTGGGAAACTTGGTGACACCCGTGATAAGTGGACATCTGGCTAACTAAAATCATGCTGGACCATGGATGTTGCCAGACCAGAGAGTGCCAGATTAGAGAGGTTCAACCTGTAGTTCAAAACTATTTTTTGCATTGCCTCACAAGACATAAAGAGCCAGTGATTGCCTTAATTTCTTCTATATAAATACTATATATATAGTATATAGTCTCAAGTCATTGGCATATTAGGTTGCATTAAGAGGAGCATTGCCAGCAGATCCAGAGATGTCATTATTCCCTTTTATTCGGCTTTGGTGATGCCACATCTGGAGTATTGTGTCCAGTTCTAGGCCCCCCACTACAAAAAGGATGTGGACGCATTGGAGAGGGTCCAGCGGAGGGCAACCAAAATGATTAGGGGGCTGGAGCATATGACTTATGAGGAGAGGCTGAGGGAGTTGGGTCTGCAGAAGCAAAGAGTGAGGGGGGATTTGATAGCAGCCTTCAACTTCCTGAAGGGAGGTTCCAAAGAGGATGGAGAGAGGCTGTTCTCAATAGTGACAGATGGCAGAACAAGGAGCAATGATTTCAAGTTGTGGTGGGAGAGGTCCAGGATGGATATTAGGAAAAACTATTTCATTAGGAGGGTGGTGAAGCACTGGAATGGGTTACCTAGGGAAGTAGTGGAGTCTCTATCCCTAGAGGTGTTTAAGTCTCAGCTTGACAAAGCCCTGGCCGGGTTGATTTAGTTGGGATTGGTCCTGCCTGGAGCAGGGGGCTGGACTTGATGACCTTCTGGGGGTCTCTTCCAGCTCTATGATTCTATGATATACTAAAGCCATGGTGTCCAACATGCTAGCCACTAGCCACATGTGGCTATTTGGCTGCCCGAATGTGGCTAGTTTGCTATATCAGTAGTTTCAGAACCATTTGGACACCACAGGTACATAGTCTCTGCAACTTAATCAGTGAGATTTGAAAGTTGCCAACAGTGTGTTTTGAAATGATAAATAACATAGTGGCAGTGTCATAGCAAACAACTCATTATGCTAATACTATGCAAAGAGCTAACAAAATGGGAAACTTCTTGAAAAAATTCTAAATCATTGTGGGAACTCCCTACAGGCTCTTATTTCCCTTTACCTTACTAGTATTTAAGCTGCTGTTGTAGTATGGCAATTACTAATGTAAGTGAAGCTGATTTTCTTGGTGCACTAAAATCTAAATGAATATTCATTTCAGGTGATGGACTATAACATTAACCTGGGAAAACATCTCCTTCCATTAGTGGTTCAGGTGCTGAAGTATTGCACTTGTCCTCAACTCAGACATTACTTCCAGCAGCCTCCCCGCTGCTCCCTCTGGTCTGTCAAACCGCACATTCGGCAGATGTGGTTAAAGGCATTGCTTGTCATTCTTTACAAGGTTTGTTGTCTTGAAGGGTTGCTGTTATCTTAAAATTTATATTTCAGTCTAAATTTTGTTACAAATGATGCCTAAAGTCTACTAAAGCCAAAAAGGATTAGAGGGAAACATTTTTGTGTCTCTCTTGTTTCAGTTTGTTTACTTTGTGAATTAATTTTAATTTGTCTAAATTAGATTAATTGTTTACCCTGTATAGTCAATTAGTTAGTTTCTCCCATTGTTTATGTGGACCTAACAGCTTAAACAAGAAAAATGTTTTTCAATATAGGAAAATGGGTTGTAAAACCTCAGAATGATCAGGGGTATTCAGATGTAATATCTGATGTTACTTTTAACACATTTTAACGCATGGACTATATTTTTAAGTTTGTGGTATCAGTTTAACAACTAGAGTTCTTAGCTCACATAATGTTTTTTATAGGAATTGTAAAAAACATAACTTCAGTAAAATACCTACTGGAGCAGAGAGTTAGTAGGTATTTGACATACAGAACCCATGTGTAGTGGTCAGATTTGATGTGCCTAAAAAAAGGAGAAACTGGAAATCAGTGAAATGGTAAATATTTTGCATATAGGTCTTATAAAGCCTCTTGAGGTATCTTTAACAGACTGCTTTATCATAAACAAATCAAGGAAATAATATATTAAACTATCCTCACAGGGAGTACTTTAAAATGTTTTTTCTGAAGGCCAGTTTATTTAAATATAATGGAGAGTGCCTATCTCCTAGAACTGAAAGGGACCTTGAAAGGTCATTGGGTCTAGTCCCCTGCCTTCACAGCAGGACCAAGTACCATCCCTGATGAATTTTTGCCCCAAATGGCCTCTGCAAGGATTGAACTCACAGCCCTGGGTTTAGCAGGCCAATGCTCAAACCACTGAGCTATCCCTCCCCTGTTGATAAAGTATTCTTTACAAAGTTGGGGAATATTCCTGCTTTCTAGCATGTATTTAGAAACATAAGATCTTAGGCATGTCGCGTGCCACTAGATGACAATATGCACAGCAATTTCTATGTTTTTGCCTAGATATTTATTTAAGGGAGGGACCTACTATACACAAATCAAGAGGAAAAGTTAGCTATTAAGATAAAATCTTTTTCTTTCATGGTACAGTATCCCTACAGAGACTGTGATATCAGCAAGGTTGTGCTGCATCTGATCCACATTACAGTCAACACACTGAATGCCCAGTACCACAGCTGCAAACCGCATGCCACTGCCGGTCCTTTGTACAGTGACAACAGTAATATAAGCCGATACAGTGAAAAAGAAAAAGGTATTTAAAATATTTTAATTTCTGCATTAGATGCTGATGTAATTAATTAAGCTGTCCATGATGAGGGAATGTAGTCTAGAGATTAGAGTGTAGGACTGGGAGTCAGATTCCTGAATTCTCTTCCCAGCTTTTCCTGTCTGCTCTTAGGAAGATGAGCTTACTTCTCTGCACCTCCGTTTAGCAGTTATGAAATGGGTAAAGTGATGCAGGGTCAGTGCAAAAATTAGTGTTAAAAAAGTGGTTTGATATCTCTGGGTGAAAACCTAAATAACTGCAAAGTTTATTATTATATAATAAATCTATCTGATAATTTCTTAGGCTATGTCTACACTGCAACACTATTTCAAAATAACTAGCGCTATTCTGAAATAACTTAGTTTGTGTCTACACAGCAGGCAGTTATTTCGAAATAGTGTCAAAATACTTTGAAGTTGGAGGACTTTGTACTCCGACTCCTGTAACCCTCATTGTACAAGGAGTGAGGGAAGTCAGAGGAAGAGTGCTCTATTTCAAAATAAGCTACGCATTTGACGTAGCTCAATTTGCATAGCTTATTTCGAGTTAAGCCCTGCAGTGTAGATTCATCCTTAGAAAGATTTTGCTGATGATAAACCATAGCTAGTTTTTAGGGAATTTGTTATTATCTCCTTTCCTGAACAAGACTCTTCCCTGTGTGCAGCAATCTGCTTTTTTTCATATGAGAAAAACTTACAAAAAGGCAAATTTACCCTCAATTTGTGAAACCTTTTTTTACTGAGTGTAGATATCTAGAGTGTAATCTGGTTATTATGATTAAAATCTATTCAAGACTTTCCTGAAAGACCATCGCTGTAGGATAAAAGGTAAAATGAGTAAAAAAAAAAATCCAGAATTCTTTTTCTGCCCACTGTCATTTTATTTATGTCAGCACCTTTTCTGCTTTGCTGCATGTTGCTTAGTGCTTGGTATTTTGAAAAATAGAAAGATAAACATGTCTGTCAAGCAGAGGCTGAATTCTCATTTACACTGCCCCCTCTTGCGCAAAAAAAATGCAAATGAGGCGAAGTGTGGAATATCGCCACACCTCATTTTTTTGCGCAAGAGGCTTTTTTTTGCGCAAAAACCCCCTCTTCTGCAAGAGCTGTTCTTCCTCTTTTTTCAGGAAGAACGTCTCTTGTGCAAGAGTGGGGTTTGTGCAAAAACGGAGCCTAATTAATTATGCAAATGAGGCATGTCGATATTCCACGCTTTGCCTCATTTGCATATTTTTTGCGCAAGAGGGGGCAGTGTAAACATAGCCTTTGACTTTTTTACATCACTCTGCACATGTAAAGAGGTCTTGAAATGGATGTGAATTATGTATTTTATATTTACAACAACTATAAGACACGTTTATGTTGCCAGGGCACCGTAAAGAGGACTTAGTATTATTGAGAATTAGGTCCAGAATAGTTTGTTTCTTCAGATGGCTCTGGACTAATTTCCCCATCTGTTTGTCTTTGCCTTGATCCATATAAGTATGTTTTAATGATGGGAGAACAGGCAATATGCCAGCCAAATTTGAGGTCTAAGATTTGGAAATTCAAAAGGACATCTTTAAGGGATGTGTAGATACTTGAGGCATCATGGTCTAGAAGAGTGCTATTTGTAAGGACTGAAGAAGCCATCAGTTCTAATCTTGTCTCTTCTGTGGACCTAGACCCACTGTGTGACCTTGAACTAGGCTTGATATCAGTTTTTCCTTGTGTACAGTAAGGAGAATACTACTTACCTACTTTTGCCAGGCTCTTAATACATTTAAAAGGCTGGTATGCAGTGGGGGGACCCAGCGCGAGCCAGGAATCAGCTGTCCTGGCTTGTGCCACCCCCTCCCCATGCTGCACTTCTGATTTTTAAATGTGTTAAGAGCTAGTGTGCTCTTAATACATTTAAAAAGCAGAGACACAGCATCTGGGACCAGGTCCCCGCTAACTCCCTGTCTCCCCTGCCCTCCCTTCTGCCCTCTGTGGAGACAGTGCTGAGGTGAACCGGCTTTTAAGCCAGCTTCCCTCTTCACTGGCTTCTGCTCTCCCCCTTGCTGCCTCTGATAGAGACAGCAGGGGGGGAAGTGACTAGTCGAGGAACTAGTTGACTCTTCGATAAGCTTTTGCTTATCTGATAGTCGACTAGTCGACTAGTTATTTACATCCCTAATTCCTTACTTTTCAGACCTTAATTACTCAAACTGTAAAGTGTTTTTGAATGATATTACTGTGGTACATGTTTATTTACAAACCTGTGTAGAGTGTTTTGAATTTTCTACTTTAAGAACTGATTTGGTCCATAGGTCTCTGTTTTTTGCTCAGGACCTGACGTTTCTTACAAATAATGATTTTCTTTCCCAAGCAGAGGAGGATAGTGTCTTTGATGAATCTGATATTCATGATACCCCAACTGGACCCTGCAATAAAGAATCTCAAACGTTCTTTGCAAGACTGAAAAGAATTGGTGGCAGCAAAATGGTGAAATATCAACCAGTTGAGATGAATGCCCAGAGAAGTATGAATGTTTTTTTATCAGAGTCAATTTGTGCAGGAATATGATAATCTTCTGCTTGTTTCATGGTAGAACATTAATTTTTGTATATTTTATTGCTATGCATCATTTTTAGCGTTCTCATAAACACACATGCAGGAGTTTGATTTCCAGACATAAAGCCTCTTCAAGGCATCTTATGTTGGGCCACAAAATCAGTAATTTCTTTTTAAAATGTGACTACATAATATATAGAAAATCTACTCAAAGATCAGTTTGAGAAGATTCTACATTTTTCCTCTTCTACTAATGGCTGAACTGGAGTTGGTTTAAAATTTTCTGTTGAAGTTTCTCTTTTTACAGAAGTTGGATTTCTGATTAAATAGAATTTTTTTATGGAAAAAATGCCATTGTTGATTTTTTGTTTTGTTTTCTGTTGCTTAAGGGAATGGTTTATTGTTTGCCCAAGCCTGAAAAATGTTCAGTTTTCATTTTTCTTTTTTAAATGGCCTTTTTTATGGTAAAATTAATTAACTAACAATCTGTAGGCCGATTGGAATAGTTTTAGAGTAGTTTTTCCTTCTGTTTTTAACATTGGATTTCCAAGGCAGAATAATCTATAGTACTACTAATGACCAGGGCTCCTGGTTTCCATAGCAATGCTACCGCAATCTAAAATATTTCTAAAATTATTTTCTTCTAACATATGCCATATACAGAATACAGGTAGGTATAGGGCAAAGGTGATATTGATGTATGTTTGGGATGACCCGCATAAGTACTGTGTGGCTTCACCAGTCATCAGTAATGCAGCCATCCCAAATGGATGCCAATAAAACCTTTTCACCACACCATCTTTTATTCAATAATGAGAGCCAAATTGACCTATCAAGGGCACATCTGGAGGGAGCTCAGAATTTGCTTTTACAATCTAATGGTCTGAGTAAAGTGATATGGGCAGTGGCTTTTTTTGTTGCCTATAGCAAAATTCTTTGCAGTATGACTCTGAGATGAAAATAAATCTCAGATGATTTTGATTGAAATTTAACTGTCCTAATACTGGGTTTGTATCTGAAATGTCAGTTGTGTTCTGAACTATGAAATGAAGACGTGATTTTTGCCAAAAATCTCCAAGTAAAATAGTACTAGCTTTTTCTGTTTTAATCAGGTGAAATAGAACTGGCTGAATATAGAGAAACGGGGGCATTACAAGACAGCATTCTACATTGTGTGAGAGAAGAAAGCATTCAGAAAAAAAAACTGCGCTCTCTAAAACAAAAATCTCTTGATATAGGGAATGCAGACTCCCTGTTGTTTACATTAGATGAACATCGTAGGAAGTCCTGCATAGACCGATGTGACTTAGATAAACCACCTGCCTCTGCTGCTTACACCACGCATAGACAAAATGATTATGGACGGCCTAGACAGAATTCTTCTACCAGGACTGAATATACAGAGACACAAGAGAATCCATCTGTCATGGAAAGCTTCCAGGAAATGAGGAGACCTGTAATACCAGAAGTTAGGCTAAATTGCATGGAAACATATGAAGTAAAAGTGGATTCTCCAGTGAAACTTCCTGTTCCTAAAGAGGATTTAGATCTGATAGATTTGTCCTCTGACTCAACATCAGGGCCTGACAAGCATTCAATCCTTTCCACTTCAGACAGTGACTCTCTAGTCTTTGAACCTCTTCCTCCGTTGAGAATAGTGGAGAGTGATGATGAAGAAGAAGAAACAACAAACCAATTAAATGATGATGTCTCTGGCAAAACTGCTGTGTCGTCTCCCTCATCTCCCATCAGTGCCTCTGCACTCAGCCTCAGTGCAGCCTGCCTCGTGCAATTCAGCATTGAGGATTGCTCCAAAGACTTTACATCTAAGGATGCGAACAATAATGGTTCATTAGGAAAAAAGGAAATCCCCTCCACAGCTCCCAAAGATCAAAAAGACTGTGAAGAGTTAGCTAAGCCAGAGGAGCTTCAAGATGTATCCTGCGGGAGCCCACTAACACTTAAGCAAAAGCGAGACCTATTGCAAAAATCATTTGCACTTCCTGAGATGTCCCTTGATGATAACTCTGAGCTTAGTGTGGAAGAAATTAAATATACTGGACCAGTTCCAAGTTCAAATATAAAAACTGTCCTTATTAAGGTTCCTGAAGACTCTGAAAACCAAACAGAAACTGATAAGCTCGATGCCTACACAGAATCTGATACGGAACAAAATACTGAACTGAAACAGGAGGAAGAAGCTGAGGAGTCAGAATTTAAGATTCAGATTGTTCCCAGGCAGAGAAAACAGAGAAAGATAGCTGTGAGTGCTATACAGAGGGAATACCTTGACATTTCCTTCAATGTTCTAGACAAGTTGGGAGAACAGAAAGAGACAGGTGAGGACAACCACAAGCCAAATCAAAACTGTTGTTACTTATTGCGTTTTCAGTAATGTATCTGTCTGAGCACTCAGTTGTGTTCTACATGACAGACAATAGGATAAAAAATGTCAGAAGTTATCTCATATAGATGTAACCTTCCAGAACATCCACCTCTCAGTGCATTCACTGTCAAATATGTTGGAATCAATTGGTCAGAGCTGTCCCAAAGGGAGGTGTAGGGCCCAGGGCAACAGCTCCACCCCTTCCCCGAGCCCTGCCCTGCCCCTGGTCTGCACCTGCCACTGCCCCACTCCCTTTTGCCCTCCCCTGAGCAATATGGCCAGGATTACAGGGCGAGGTGGCAGCAGCGGTTGCCCTCCCTTCACATGGGCGGTGGGAGCCAGGACTTAAAAACCTCTAGGAATGGAGATTCCATCACCTCCCTAGGTAACCCATTCCAGTGCTTCACCACCCTCCAAGTGAAATAGTTTTTCCTAATATCCAACTTAGACCTCTCCCTATAACTTGAGACCATTGCTACTCGTTATGCAATCTGTCACCACTGAGAACAGCTTCTCTCCATCCTCTTTGGAACCTCCCTTCAGGTAGTTAAAGGCTGCTAACAAATCCCCCCTCACTCTTCTCTTCTGCAGACTAAATAAGCCCAAATCCCTTAGCCTCTTTTTGTAGGTCATGTACTCCAGCCCCCAATAATTTTGGTTGCCATCTGCTGGACCTTCTCCAATGTGTCCACATCCTTTCTATAGTGGGGGGCCCAGAACTGGATGCACTACTCTAGATGTGGCCTCACCAGTGCCAAATAAAGTGGAATAATCACTTCTCTAGATCTGCTGGAAATGCTCCTCCAGTGTATCCAAATATGCCATTAGCCTTCTTGGCTACAAGGGCACACTGTTGACTCATATCCAGCTTCTCATCCACTGTAATCCCCAGGTCCTTTTCTGCAGAACTGCTGCTTAGCCAGTCAGTCCCTTGCCTGTAACAGTGCTTGAGATTCTTCCATCCCGAGTGCAGGACTCTGCATGTGTTCTTGTTGAACCTCATGAGATTTCTTTTGGCCTAATCCTCCAATTTGTCTAGGTCACTCTGGACCCTATCCCTGCCATCCAATGTATCTACCTGTCCCCCATTTTAGTGTTATCCGCAAACTTGCTGAGGGTGCAATCCATCCCTTCATCCAGGTCATTAATAATGATGTTGAACAAAACTGGCTCTAGAACCGATTCTAGGGGCATCCCACTTGAAACCAACTGCCATCCAGACATCGAGCCGTTGATGACTATCCATTAAGCCCAACAATCTAGCCAGCTTTCTATCCACCATGCAGTCCATTTATCCAATCCATACTTCCTTGACTTGCTGGCAAGAATTTTGTGGGAGACCGTATCAAAAGCTTTGCTGAAGTCAAGGTATATCATCACATCCACCAACTTCCCCATGTCCACAGAGCCAGTTACCTCATCATAGAAGGCAATCAGGTTGGTCAGGCATTTATTTGCCCTTTGTGAATCCGTGTTGACTATTCCTGATCACCTTTCTCTCTTTCAAGTGCTTCAAAATGGATTCCTTGAGGATCCTGTCCATGATTTTTCTGGGGACTAAGGTGAGGCTGACTGGTCTGTAGTTCCCTGGATTGTCCTTCTTCCCTTTTTTAAAGATGGGAACTACATTTGCCTTTTTCCAATTATCCAGACCTTCTCCCAAGCACCACGAGTTTTCAAAGATAATGGCCAAAGACTCTGCAATGACATCTGCCAACTCTCTCCGCACGCTTGGAAGCATTAAATCTGGCCCCATGGATTTGTGTATGTTTAACTTTTCTAAATAATCCTTAACCTATTCTTTCTCCACCAAGGGCTTCCCACCTTCTTCTCATCATGTAATCTCTCCCAAAGTGAGCCAAAGAGCCTGTGTAACCAGGTGAAAATGAGCCAATTGATCTTCAATTATTTGTACAAGTTTGCTAAAGGAAGTGGCCACAGAAAAATAGGATTTGTTTAGCCTCAACCCCTTTTTGATCATTAGAGCCTGCAAATCAATGAGACCTGGTTTTCACACACACATTCACAAACACCTATTGAATTGAAAGGGTTGTCAGAACTCTGACACACATACCTGGCACCAGAATTTTAGCCACTAAAGGGAAACATGATTGCACATTGCTGTATGCATGATTATACAGCTGTATAAAATATTCACCATGTCCCATTAAAGAGCCTTGGCTTATAATGCTGGTAGTGATTAGAATGAGTTACATATCTTATTAGTTAAGGGTTTATTGTTTCTTTTACCATCCTGATTAGTTTTTGAATATATTTATTATAGTTTAGGTTAGCTGGCTTGATGTGGTTGTCATAATTTGCTAGTGACAGTTTCAAGCACCTTGATGTGGTTGTCGTAATTTGCTAGTGACAGTTTCAAGCACCTATTGCAAAATGCTGATACTTGCATCCTTTAATACTTTTGGAAAGGATTCTGACATAATTTGTTTCCCAGTGGAATATCCAGAATGACCCTTTTCTACAAATGAGCAATCTATGGGTTCCTGCTTGTGATTTTTATAACATTATATACATTCACATTTTCTTAGTTATTTTGTGCTTGCACAAGACAGTGGTATCTGGAAAAACTTTGGGTTTGATTCTTCCAGTTTTGATAACTCCAGCTGATCAGAAATCATGAGAGTAACTTAAAAATCATGAGTTTTTTGTTTATGCCACAGGTTTTAGATTCTTCTCCATATTTTAAACCTTTAGAATACATATTTTGAAGCTTTTCTCTGCAATTCTGATGTCAATAAGTTTTTTTTAAATGAAAGCTGAGATTCTCGCACAGACAAATTACTTTAGGAACTTCAACTTGAGAAATAATACCAAATAATGCAAGAGTTGTGACATTTTGTCATTTACACTAGATTTACACCAGTCTTACTCTATTGATGTACACTTTGTAATTGAGATCAGAGTCAGGGTGCTTTATGTACATATATTCATTTTATTTTGTACTATCTATGAATAGTCTTCAAGCGGCTTATCCAGAATCTCCTTTAAAAAGTAATTTAGAAACAATTCCCATTGCACCTGTAACATCAGCACATGTGTAAGTTCACTGGAGGTGCCAACTGGCAATGGAACATTAAAAAGATATAAAAATGGCAATCAGAGAAAGAAGCTGATGAAAAAAATGTTCTCTGATTTTTAAATAATGCACTCAGAATTTAAGCACCATTTCCATTTGCAGACGCCACTGCTAAAGGACTTTCAACTCTGGAAATGCCAAGAGAATCATCTTCCGCTCCTACACTTGAAGCAGGTGTGCCAGAGACAAGTAGTCACTCTTCCATATCCAGTAAGTTTTCCCCTGGATTCAAGAACTGAAACATAATTACTGCATTTGTGCATCTAGTATGTATCAGCATATGGCATATTGCCTTCCTTCAGACTTTACACAACTAGAAGTATATTTATGTGGTACATTACTAGATTTGTGTACTCCACAAGTGCCAGCATTATGTTTGCAATTAAGCACTAGAAGATTTATTGAATCTCTGAAAAGTAACCGTATTATTCTGCAACTTTAAAAACAACACAGAGGGCTACTTGTTTTTAAGGTTTATTGAGACATAGCAAACTTCCTGGACATGTATGGCACATAATTAAGCAATGGTCGAATTTTGAAGTCATGGTTGATGAACAGGTGTTTTATTGAATTTGTGTGTGCACTCCTAATGAGATGTAGCATTTTCTAGTTGTCTAAGCAGAGGACCAGGAGATAGAAACTCTCGAGAATTCAATTACTAGCTATGTGGTCTCAGGAAAGCTACTTAACCAATTGTGAAACAGAGATGATAGTAATATTCTGCAGGAGATCTGTGAGCATTGATTGGTTAATATTTGTGAAAAGTTTCCGGGGGATAGCCATTTTAGTCTGTATCTGCAAAAAGAATGAGGAGTCCTGTGGCACCTTAGAGACTAACAGATTTAATAGGGCATAAGCTTTCGTGGGTAAAACTGTTCTTTGAAGACCTTGGACCTGATGTAAAATAGATGTATCTTCACTGGAGCCAGTGGAATTACACTGATGCATCTGGGAGGAGAAACAGGCCTATAAGATGCTATACAAATGCTGAGTATTAATGTCTTTAGTGATATCCAAGAACCACTGACTTCAATAGAAATAATATCAGGCCTATAAAAGGAAGGAGGTTATTGAGCTTAAAATACCAGTCAGAGCTGTTTCAATTTCTCAGCTGCACTATCAGTTTCCAGTGAGACCTTAGCAAGTCCAGAGGGGCAGATCTACAAAGTATTTAAGTAGCTAAAGATGCAGCAAGACACTTAGTGGGATTTCTGAAAGTACTTAAATACGGACAGGTTAGTTGCCTGATTCCACTGATGTCAATGGCATGCATTCCTACCTGCTGAGATGCTTATGCAAACCCACCAGGTACTTCTTTGCATCATTAAGCACCTAACAGCCTTTATAAATCTGGCCCTTTTTCTCTCTGGCTGTGTCTACACTGGCACCCTTTTCCGTAAAAGGGATGCTAATGAGAAACTTCGGAATTGCAAATGCCGCGGGGGATTTAAATATCCCCGTAGGAATAAGGGATCTTCCGGAAAAGGGCTTATTTTCTGCAAGATCCCGTCTAGACTGGTGCTTTTCTCCGGCAAAACCCCGAGCCAGAAAAAAGCAGCATCCATGTTCATGCAAATGCCGCTGGGGATATTTAAATCCCCCGCGGCATTTGCAATTCCGAAGTTTCTCATTAGCATCCCTTTTACGGAAAAGGGTGCCAGTGTAGACACAGCCTCTATGTGTGTGTCTAGACTTGCAACACATGTGTCTGCTGAGACCACCGCAGCCTTCCCTGTCCACTTTCCTTTGAAATAGCCAGGCAGCCTGTATTGCTCTGCCGATCAGCTGTTTGTCGGCAGATCGGGGCAGTCTGGACGCGCCGCGCCAACAAAGAAGCCTTTCTTGATCGGCACAGGTATGCCTCGTGAAACCAGGTTTACCTGTGCCGATCAAGAAAGGCTTCTTTGTCGGCGCGGCGCGTCCAGACTGCCCCGATCTGCCGACAAACAGCTGATCGGCAGAGCGGGGCAGCCATTTAAATTTAAATGAAGCCGCGATTATTTTAATCGCGGCTTCATTTCCCTCTGCCGATCTGGCTAATCTACATGCCTCCGTCGACGGAGGCATGTAGTTTAGACGTACCCTTTGTCTCAGTTTCCATCTGTGAAATGGGAAATACAAATGTTTCCTTAGTCTGTCTTGTCTATTTAGATTGTAAGCTCTTTGGAGCAATGACTGTCCCTTGCTAAAGGTTTGTTCAGAGTTTAATACAATTGGGCCTTCTTCTCTGTTGAGGGCACTGCTCATTACTGTAATACAAATACATAATTATTTGTAGGCTTCTGGTTTATAGACACATACATTGTCAAACAATCCTGATATCTTAAATATCTCCATCACTGGAGGTGTTTAAGAGCATGTTGGATAGACATCTATCAGCGATGATCTAGACCAGTGTTTCTCAACCTTTTTTTATAATGTACCCCCTTTTTTAAAAAAAATAGTTTTCAGACACACATCGTTCTTTTCTACCATTGCAACACATTTGTTTAACGTTCTTTTCTACCATTGCAGCACATTTGTTTAAACAACTTAATCATAGCCGGGCTGGTGATGAAATTTTTGGGTGTAAAAAGTACAAAAATAATCAAGTGCTGTAAAACTTAAAATAAACATTCAGTTCTCCAAATTTCAGTTGTGTTGAGGTACCCCCCAAACTTCTCTCGAGTACCCCTAAGGGTACTCGTACCACTGGTTGAGAAACACTGATCTAGACAATGCTTGGTCCTGCCGTAAGGGCAGGAGACTGAACCTGATCATCTGTTGAGGTCCCTTTCAGTTCTAGTGTTCTAAGATTGTATGATAAGAAAATGTTGCTGGGGAGCCTGTCTTCTCCCATAATAATTGCCACAGACAGAAAAACATAAAGGCAAATCCTCAGCTGATACACATTGTCCACCTCCTACTGAGTTATAACAGTTTACACAGCTGAGGATCTGCTCACTAGATTTTTTTCAAGTTATTGGTAGAAAACAGATAATGGAAATAATGTTTTCATTGGTAAAATCATACTATATGAAATGCCATATACATTGACATTGGTGCCTATACCAACTTCGTGCATATACAGTTCAAAAGCTGGAAGCTTTTTTGTTTTGTCAACATTTGAAATCACAGCTGTCCTTAAGGAACCAGGTAAATAGCTCTGGAAACACAAACCTGCTAAGCACCACATTGATTATGTTGAATATGTATGAAAAGAAGCTGAAATTACAATAATAAAAGCTGGCATGGGAGTTCAAAGAGATAATTTTCTAGATTTTGACAGCTTGCTGCACTTCAAGCAACATTGTGAGTTCTGAAATTAATTGCTATTCTTTCATTAGGAAATTTGGTCTTTGATAAACTGATAAAGCATCTATTTTAAATCCTTGCAACTGGAAGGTATGGAAATTAGATTTTTCTGCTAATTTGCTGTGAAAGGCAGCTGCAAAACAAAACAAAAAAAGTTAAATATTGAATGGAATCTCAATTTGGTTCAGTCCCAGAAGCTCATGTATGCAAGGTTTGGTTTGCTGCAGAGTTGGATAATTTTTTTGTTGTTGAATCTGAATAGAGTTTAAATGTGCTTTGATATATGAAAGAGTACTGCATAAATGGGGAGAAACTTAACAACATTTCTCATTATGATGTGCGTGAAATTGTTTCGATAGGCAGATTCCCGGTGGATGTTGTTGCTCTGTTTATTATAAATTGGATACTGGTACTTAATCTGTTAGAAAATTCTTTAAATTGTCCTTATGAGAGGAGAACAGGATAAGAAGTAATAGGCCTAAATTGCAGCAAAGGAGATTTAGATTAGATATTAGGAAAAACTTTCTATCTATAAAGATAGTTAAGCACTGGAACAAATTACCTAGGAAGATTGTGGAATTTCTATCACTGGATGTTTTCAATAACAGTTTAGACAAACACCTGACAGGGATGATCTAGAAGATAATACAAGTAGTCCTAAAGAAGTCCCTTTCTGTCCTCTATTATCTGTGATTCCATTTTCTGTTTCATTTGGGTTTGGATCTTCTTTGTACTTAGATATATCTACACTGCAGCCTTCTTCCACAAAGACTTATACAAATGAAGCACAGAGTAGAATATCGTTGCATAATTAATTAGCAGCAAAAAGGAGCTGTGTAGACGGCTCCTTTTTGCACAAAACCGTTCTTCCTGAAAAAAGCCTCTTGCGCAAAAACGGCTGCTAATTAATTGTGCAAATGTAGCGCAGCGATATTCTACTCCGCGCTTCATTTGCATAAGCTTTTGTGGAAGAAGTCTGCCGTATAGATGTAGCCCTAGATGGGTCTAACCCAAGAGCTGGGTATCTGAATGCGTCAAAATTTTGGACAAGTTTGAATCTATCCCTTCTGACTTCTGCTCATCTCCAGTTCTGCCATTTCAGTTAACAGTGTTAAAGAGTCTTTGGTATTTTTTTAAAGTCTAGCTGGTTACCATTGGATGTTTTATAATTATACTGGAAGGTGTCATATTAATACTATTTTAAAACTATGTTAGATTTCTTTTCAGTTGCAAGTGAAAATGATAATGACAAAAAGGACTCACATTAATATAATGTAGGCTTGACTTCAAGAAAATATTTAAACTCATGCTTAAATCTACACGCTTAAAAGGTTTCCAAAACAGGCACGGATTTAAGGAGATGCTCAAGTGCTTTTCGGATGTAGGGCCCAAGAATCAGTTTCAGGCACTGAATAATGGTCTCAGTTTCATTGGGGGAAATACATTGCTCTATCTGGGTTGATAAAGCTGTGCTCATCCTTGATGCTTCCCATATGGAAAAAGAAGATAGGTTGAGAGCAATCCATCACATCTTTCTCTTTCCATTTGAGTATTAGGGAAATATATTACCGTATTGGTCGTAATTGCTGGTTGCATTATGGTTTGTCAGGAAGTATTGTCCAACTAGTAATTTTCAGTAGAATTTACAGCAGTGTAGGTTAAAAAGTGTAGAAAATGTCAGCTTGGCGAACCAGCAGACGTTGGTAGCTTAAAGGACAAAGTCATCTAATCAAAGTGTAGGGGACTAAAGGGCCAACTTGTGCTATTTAGATGCTAGCCTGACTACAAAGTGGTATGGAGGTGTCCCACCTCTGGGGAACTTTGGAGAGAAATGCAATCGCTCTCTGAGGGGCAGGGTTTGCGAGACTGCAGCTTAAATATATCACATAATATATCTAGCACTCTGCAAGTCATGGGGCACAAAGGCATATTCCTTATACACTTTCTTTTCCTAGAGTATTTAGGGGGAACAATCCTCATCCTTTCTCAAGTGCAGAGACTGTGGGTCTACTAACTGTATGGTTTGTGCAAATGAAAGGGGGTTGTTGAGGAAGACAATTTCCCCCAGCATGTGCACACACAGGCTGGCTACAGTGTGACTTGATGTTTGGAAATACTTTAGGATGATTTGTTAAACTTTAGGGATATCTAATAAAGGTGGTGTCTTGAACATGTTTTACTGTATTTTAAAATAAAGATTACAGGCCAAGGAACTGACAGAAGACACAATGCATGAAATCCTGGTTCCACTGAAATCAACAAGATCTTTGCCATAGACTGCAATAGGGCCATAATTTCACAACATACAGCTATGTGAATAGAGCAGATTACTTTGAATACAATTCTGAGAGCAAGCAGCTGGTCTTTGTGGATGATATCAGTACTGCCCTCATGCTGATGGACAATATTGGGGGAATAAGAGCAGCTTGTATGATTCTCTGAACTCTTTTCAAATTCTGATTTGCAGCTCAGTTCAGACAGATGAAAAGGGGCTCCTTGGGAGCTCTGACAATGAATCAGCTAATGAAGAGACAGCTGGAACACCAATCTAGTGCACCCCATAATATCAGCACTTGGGATACTGGTAAGTTATTCTACTCTGTTCTTTATTCCCATTCCCATAAACCAGTTAGTGTCTCTTCTGTGGTGATAAATTGTGAGTATACGTGAGCCATTGCTATTCTTCTGTTGGAGAAAAATTAACCAAGCTCAGGTCTACAGTGTAATTATACCAGATTCTCTGCTGGTGTGAATCAGCATAGCTCCACTGTAGTGGGATGTCATTCCTTTGAAATAATGGCCATTACTATTTTGTATTTAGGTAAGTGACATTCTAGCCCTTCGGGGGTCAAATTGAGTGTTAGTTCTGACTTCAGCAGGGCCAGGATTTCACCCATGGTGTTTGTGAATCATATTTATGAAGAAAAATGTTTGAAATCTTATCAAGACATCAGATATTTAAACCTTATGCCATGGAGACTCTTATTTCCCCATAGGCAGAGGTTTGGGAGTCTTTTGCCAGCCCATGCAGAACTCATGGGGTTTTTGCTCAATAATTCATGCCTGGATTTTCATGTTTCTCATTAAGAGCGAAATGCAAAGCAGACAATGAAAACTGAATTAAGTACAGAATGTCCCCGCTAACGACCTGAAAAAGTGCTAACTTCTTTTCATTCTTTTCTTCTTCTGTGAAATCTTTTAGAATTCATTGAAGTTGTCACAGAATGATGAATTCAGGCATGTTTCACTTTGACGTAATAGATAATGTTTTCTAGTATTTCACTAGTAAACCAGGAGGTGACAGGAAGAGGAGAAAGAACTGTAAAGCATTTACACAGGATGTAACACTTTGATGAACAGTCCCACTGCCAAGTTAGTGGGGAGATTGGTCTCAGAAATTGTGCTTAATTCACTTTTAATCTGTAAGAGCCATCAGTCCCATTCCATTTATGGCTTTTCTTGTAACATCGATATTCAAAGTGAAGTGGATTGTCAGTTTCTCTTCCTTTCCTTCCCCACATCATCAAGCATAGAATTTGTCATTGGGAGCGGGTCCATGATACATTTACTTGATATATCAGAAGGCTATCTCATACAGAAATTTCACTTAGCATTTAGCATAACTTATACAGTAACTCTTGTTTCCCATTAAGTATTTCAGAACTATATACAGGTTGTACCTCCCTGTTCCAGCACCCTCAGTACCTGACTGGTGCTGGACCAGGGGAGGTCAAAGCTGCAGCCCAGGGCTCCACTGTTCCCACAGTGGCCCAGGACTCCACTGCTGTCTGGAGCTCTACTCTCTCCCTGATGGAAGCACCACTCTCTCCCTGGTGGCTTTGCTGCTGCTGGGGGCTTTGTGCTCCCGCTGCCCTCCGGGAACTCCGCTACTGCCTACAGCTCTGCACTCCTTCCTGCAGCTCCAGAGTTTCTGATTAGAAAAATTTTAAAATCTAGTCAAATCAAGGCTCCATGCTCCTCCCGGCGGCTCTGTGCTCTCCGGGGCTCCGTGCTCCTCCCGGCGGCTCTGTGCTCTCCCCCAGCATCCTCACTAAGGCTTGGGGGGCTATGCGCTCTCCTCTAGTGGCCATGTTCCATTCCTCCTGGCAGCTCTGCTGCCCCCAAGACTCTGTTCTGGCCGTGCTCCTGACCCCAGTCCCATGGCTTATCACCTGAGGATGCCAGACTAGGTGGTGTAGCCGGACCAGGGAAGTCCAGATTATGGATTTTCAATCTGTAGTTTATTGTTTATCTCTTAGGTGAGCTATTCAACCTATTTTCCAAGTGGGCAACTCAATATTCTAATCATTATATCTTTGAGGAGCTCCATCTTTAATGTTCTTGTTGGGAATCCACTAGCATTCTTTTTAACATCTGTCATATGTCTCTCCAAAAGACATTACTTCCAGAAACTTCCTCCAGTGGGTTGAGACCTCAACTAAAATGTTCAAGGGAATTTTTGCAATACCTAACTTCAGACCCTTTTGTGGCTGCTTTATATTTTCAACATCAGCCCAGCTAATATGGGTACCATGCCTCTCTTTATTCATCCCTCATTTGAAACTGCTCTTTCCCAAACTCTTTCTCAGGAAAAATGAACTGATTGTATGTCTATCCTATGCCAGCATACACATGTCCATGATCTAATGATCTCTCAATTTCCCTAAGCATTACCGTTTACTCTTTCTCTGTCTCTTTACATATTCTATTTCTTGCTGAAACCTTACAATTAGCCCTATATTTCTTATCAAATGACTTTGAACTTTCCTAAAAGGCCTCCTTTGATATTGTTATATCTGTTTCTTGCTTCTATTGACCTTTTACCTTCTTTTCTTCTCTTCTTTTTATGCTCACAGATTTAACACTCTGTTTTCCAGCTGGTGTTTGTGCGTGTGTGGTGGTGGTGTTTTAACTGTTTGAGTGAATTTGTGGTGATGGTGACAGGCAGTGCATTAACAGTGCCACAGACTGAAGTCCTCTATTTATCCACAGAACAGATACAGCATGGGAAGCGGCCGTGCAATGTCTCAGTTTGTCTAAACCCTGACCTGGAGGGACCACCACTCAGAATAAGAGGTTAGTTCATTGTCCATGTCCATTCAAACTTGGTCTCTCTGCTGAGACCACCAATAAGGATACCAGTTAGTACCCATTGTGATGGTGGCCTTGTGTTCCGTTCAACGAGAGTGACATCACCAGTTCATTTCACACAGGATATGAATAGTTGATGGATGGTAATGACTTCCTGTCAGTAACTAGCTTGTCTGGACTTAACTGATGACTTGGAAGTGAAAAAATTTGTGCCCATTCCCTGGGCCACCAAGTCCCAGCTATTCGAACATTCATTCCCGACATCCATACTGCGCAGCCTCCCTTACAACTTTTAATGGAAGTACGAACTAGCCTTTCTTTAGCTCGAACCACATTCTTTCTCACTGTTCACCACAAGATCAGCACAAATGTTCTTATTATTAGCAGCTGAGCCTTATTCCCAGTTATGTAGCCATATGACAACATCCAGCATTTGTATGCTATATTGTAGCTGTAGCTAGAGATGATAAAAGAGTAGGTAAAGTGAATTTCTTTATGAAGCAAAGACTAGCTAGACATACTCAAACTCTTATTTCTTGCATTCTAGATGGTTTCTCATATCACTGAAAAGTTCTCAAGACTTTCTAACATGTCTGCTGCACCCAGTGCAATCTCAAAGGGACCATTACTCATATAATGGAGTCCCTAAAGTTTAAGGACTCCGTATGGGATAGGTTCTTCATTTGTGTAGAAAAGAATTGTTTCCTTCCAAACTCAGCAGAAGAATTGTTCAAAACTCTTCTGTTTTCATTAAAGCAGTACTCGGGACCATCCCTAGCAGTCTAGAATCCTATATTATGGGATTTCATATGGATCATTTGGTCTGAGCTTGCCTTTGCACTATTGCAGCTATTGGGAGTGTATCAATAGCAGCTCCATTTATACCAAATTTAATCAGACAATCTATCTCTTGTTTCTTTAATCTTTGATGAGGATTACAGTAAGATAGTTTCAACATTAGCTGTGAATTCTGTTTGTGAGGTCTTCAGATTGCTGGTTGTTTTCTTGCTGATTTCTTCAGTCATCCTTCAGCCCTTCCATATCCGCAAGAGGTAAACTGAAAGAAAAAAGACATCGATACTCTTCCAAACTCTAACCAAAAAATGAGCTCCATCCATGTGCAACTTCAAAATGAGATCCGATTTAGCATGGGCCATCCATGTGTGACCATATCTGTAATCTGAGTTTCACTGATTTCATTGAGTTTTGCTCTTTTCAGTGGGGCTTCTTTAAGTTGGGTGGAAGAAAGAAAAGGTGCTTTTCCACAGAATGCCTCTCATTTGTGGCATCAAAATGAGACATTTCTTGATAGTAGATTGTGCAGATCTGTAACCTTCTCTCTTCTTTCTTACCCGAGAAAGGAGATAATTAACAGCGTTGATGTCAAAATATCATCATTTGTTGTATTAACACTTCACTGAAATGAATGGGGCAGTTCACCTCTCTGTGCTATTGTTTCAGAGGTTTTTTTCACAACTGTAACAACTAGAGAAATACCTTTAAAAATTAAAAAAATAAAAAGAAAGAAAGCTGAGATTCTGGGGAACAAAATGGCTGACTCAGAGATGGTCTGTGCTAACACCATATATTGGATCAAACCAAGTCCCATCTACCAGGACACTCTATTCAGTACTTGTCTTATGAGCCTACCAGTGCCTTCAACCCTGCCTGTTAAACACATAATTCATTCCTATCTCCCATAATTTGGGCACAGAACAGGTGCCTCCTGGACAAGGGATAGCCACATGCGACTACACTATTTGTATGCCTTGTTTTATGCTTTTGCACCCTCCTGACGCTGCTCCTTGCTTGCGGCATGACGCAGGCTTCTGTCGTTCCCTGGACATGCTGCTCTGCTCCTTCTGCCCCCCCTTTTGGGCCGGCGGCTAAACTTCTGTAGCCAGTACATTGCCAGTGGCCTTGCGTGGCTTTCC